AAACTAATTCAATCATAAGATTTCTGATCTATCGAGTACTTTTTCTTTGTGATCCTTACTGCATTGTGCTCCCAATCTCAAAATTAACAAGAAAAAAATATTTAAAATAAATGAACAAAAAAACAACATAAAACAATAATTCCTTATAAAAAAAATACATTTATAACAGCTATTCTTTCTTTAGAAAAGTGTAAAGAAAAGTTGGAATATCAACATGATTAAATGTATTCAATGAAAATTATATAACTCATTAATCAAACTAGTCACACGTCTATCGCTCTATAGCTGCATGACAAATTATGACAGCAACGTAATAGACTTGGAGCTGATGATCTTGGTCTGTGCTGTGTTCAATCTCCCCTGACCAGGTAATTTATTGTTTGATCAAAGATCCCTGACATTAATAATGCACTTTTTTCAGATAGTTGAAACTGAGATACATGAATCTTTGATGGTGCCCAATACTCAGAACCTGAGAGGCACAGCACTCACACCATACACACACATGTGAACAGCCTCAGTACCTCAATACACCTAACCCACTCAGTCAGATACTGATCTTATATCCACACCTACAGGGGGCAGTTAGATGAATCATCTAAATCTGACACCAAAAATAACTATTCAATTTACTGTCTACACATGGTGCTGGATAGTGTGACAACATATCAGTGCATGAAACACGCAAAGTGTCTTACCTTTCTGGCTGGAGGGTTCCTGTTGTAGAAGTGCTTTTTGTAAGAGTCCATCCAGACCTCTGCAGCTCGGACAGTATTCTGGAGGAAGTTGGGCCGCGCGTAAGGGGCTTTTTTAGGGAACACATGTCCCACGTGCGAGCAGGGATGAATCTCCAGGCTGCCCCCACACTGCCACACCTAAGGGTGGCAGATATGCAATTAAGTAAAGTAAAATGTATTTATATAGCACCTTTCTAGATAACAACTGTGTCACAACAACAATCAAGAAATAAAAAAAAAATACAAATATTAAAACAAACTCTTTAGTGGAGTCCACAGATCTCAAATGTTAATGTTACCTCATTTCAAGTGAAGTTTCTTCAATATGTTAACGTGTTCACAACACGAGTAAAAAACAAACACAATCACGTTTCCAGGATTGTGTTTGTCAGGAAAATTAAGGTCAAGTACAAAGATGGCTGCTGAGCAGCCCAAGCACAAACAATGTGTAAACTGGGCTAAAAGTAAAGTGCGACGGAGCAAGTGTCCCTCTCACCTGATGCCTCTAATTGTTTTTATTTTGAAACGTATTTCTCTCTCTCATGCAAGTATCTTTATCTAGTACTTAAACCATAGATGGGTGTGAGATGTGTGCCCCACCAGTAACACATGTTCTCAGTATTCATAGGTTATCACACCTATCTTCGAACTCAGCCTTACACACGTCAGGCGACTGCATGCTTTGCATGCTTGTGTTACTTTTGTCTTTTCCCTAATTTATGTCTTCTCTGCCCTTCATCGTCCTGCCTGCGACCTGGAAATTAATCTCAGTATGCCTTGTTGAAGGACGCCTCAATTCCTACAGGGAAGGAAGGAAGACAGACAAGAGAGGAGGGTTGCTGGAGGAGCTATAATCAAGAATGCACAAGTGTTTTCTTTGCTAGAGCATTTTTACCTTCAATGTATAAAAAAACCCACGCTACTCAGGTAGAATATGTAAACAATAGTAGGAAGAGGACACTTTTAAACAACCAGCCTTTTTTTATTCATACATTTCTTTCAGCGGATGATCAAACAGTCTGCCCTTCACTTCTTATGTGTGATTAAAATGAGCCATATTGCAAATTTAATCAAAAGTAGCCGGTAACATAAAACATCATGAACACTGTTACACCTGCAGTCATAAAAATGCAGCAGCGGTTGGGCTATAACAAAACAATTTACGGCCCAGCTTTGCCACATCTTGGATTAAACTGACATTGAGTTAAAATGAGGCTCCAAGGCAAGGATGTCTCAAATTGTTAAAACACCTGTTGCCTCAGCTCCTTGATCCTCGTGTCCTTTCCTCCTCACATCTTTAGTGGGAAGGATTAAGATGAAAGGAAAAGGAGTCGAGAATGTAAAATTTGAGTAATGGGAAACGGAAATACCTGTCCACAGGCAGACATATAAAGATTTATCAAAGGTGCCTGTGAAGGTTGTTTCCACTGCTGAAGATTTTTCCAAAACAACATTTTGCAAAAACTCACAAAGTAAAAACATTACCAGCTTCACCTCACTGCTGGTAAACGATTATAGACCACATGGAGACCCTTCACATGTGGGACAGGGGAGGGTTGGGGGATTACTAACACTTGGGCCACCTATTTCCTGTACATTTGACCTAATGGACCTCAACCATCTTCAATCTCGGCCTTTTTTCTTTTTTAGACTGCATCATCCACAATGGATCTTTTTCCCAGCAGCCATTCTGACATGAAATCGTGGGCAAAGACAGCTGTTACTAATCGCCTTAATGAGGGCTCAGCACTGAAACAGATCAGAACCATCATGACTGCAGTAGTAACACCTGTGTTTGACTGCTACATTTTGTCCAATGGCTGCTGTGAAACAAGTCTATTGTGGTGTGTTTTGACAATAACACTGTGCACAGTTTTGCATCAAATATTACCAAAATGGTGATTCAGCTTCTTAACATTATTTTTAAGTCCTTATATTATAGGAACAGCTTGAGAGAGACAGGTCATGGGGAAAAAACAGAGGTGGTGGTAAGCCGCACAGTTGCTGCTGTTAGTTGGTGTAAGGTTGGTGCACTGGGCATGTGCTGTATCTGTAAGCTGTTGGTTGCCACATGATTCTGTTTAACTTTATGTGTATCGGTCCACCTTGTCTTGATGTTCCTTTTAAGCAAAGATTACAAAACAAGATCTACTACAGGTATTATCTAAATGAAGAAACTGTGCTTTATCAATCTTACCACAAAGGTTCAACACATACTTTTGTGAGTCATACAGCTGCATTTATACTAGAACCTACACAGACAATATCTTTTTACCTTACGTTAATGGCTGGATCGTTCACCATTGATCGAACAAAAGATTAACATCCTTAAAGAAATGGTCTGGTATTGATTTAGTGCTTTTCTACACAAGTCTTATTTACATTTACCCACACATTCACCTAAGTGCTTTTTTAATTCCCACACTCGCACTCCGCATTGGGGTTCAGTTTCTTACCTAAAGATAATTTGACATGCAGGTTGGAGGTGCCAGAGATCAAAATACTGACCTTGTGATTAGTAAATGACCCACTCTACCGCCTCCTACACAAGGCAAAGCCATTATCATAAGTCCATAGGCAAACAGCTAATGCAAGACAGTCCTTTCCATCTTAATTCAGAAAGCATTTTACGCCGCACCACTATTTTTCAACACTCCAAAAAAAAAGAGACCTAGAAACCAATTCACTAAACATAAATTATGTATGGGAAAAAGTCCCGGTGAGAGGCATTTTTGTTTCCACATGCATAACATATCACTCAGCTGAACAGCCCATTCTTCTTCACAATGCAGACAAATACAAACTATAAATCATACACACACAATTTACATTCCTAATCTTGCATGCTCCTGCTTAAAATCTGTGCCAGCTTGATTGACGCCAGCAAGTGAAAAGTGACACCAACATCACAACAAGGTATCAGCCAATATAAGGCTGCAGTTTCACATACCCTGACTGACTGTGATCTGACACTGACTCACGCCAACTACGCACCAGCGGGCACAGGATAAACATTTTCCAACTAAATTTAATGATCTTTCTCTCTGCTCTCTATCGCAGTAAAAAAAGCTGAGTAAAGATATGGTTTGTCTGGATCTGGTAACAAAGCAACTCAGATTAGTGAGTCTTTCGCAAAATGTTTTAAAAGAACCACTCAGGCCTAATATCGATTAAGTGGCCCTGTGGGGGCTAAGCAGACACTTCACTGTGATTCTGAGTGATGGAAAATTAACTCACCCTGAAAGAGAGCTCCAGGTTTTCTCCTCCCCACACATCCATGCCCATGTCATACGTGCCCAGATACTCAAAGTAGGCCTTGCTAACAGCAAATAATCCCCCAGCCATAGTAGGAGACCTGTGAGAATACAAGAAAAACAGGATCATTTTTATCATGGCCATGTTCAATCCCGTTACACAGAAAAACTCAGCGATTCCCTCTGCGCAAGTAGTTGACGATAGTGGGGAGAAAAAAAAAAAAAAACTTCCTTCAACAGGAAGAAATGTCTGGCTGAAACAGGCTTAAGGAGGGCAGCCATTTACCTTGAGCAGTTGGGGTGAAACAAAAATTACAGAAAGGGACAGAAAAAAAGATGACAGGGAGAAAAATAACAAATTATGGAACAGAAGATACAACGTTACTGAACTGTAACAGTGTCATACAAGTGAACATCGGTATGTAACCTTTCGCTCAATGAATCCAATCAGTTCCAACCAAATCCATGCATACTTGCAGAGACTGACATATGGATGGTTTAGGGTATATAAACCATCCATCCACTATAAGGTTCAAAACACCTTAAAAGTGGAGCTAGTGCCAGTCTCTGAATTAAATAGGGAGCTGGTTCCCCAGGAAAGAGGTTTATAGTCGAAGGCTCTAAGAACCACAAGTGAACCTGCCCTCTGGCAGCAGAGTGCTCTACTGGGATAAAACGGTACCACTGTCCTTAAGATATGGTGGGGTTTGGTTCATTAAAGGCTTTATGTGTGAGGAGTATACCAATGAGGAAGCCAATGACATTAAGATAATTTGGGAGATATATCATTTCTTATGCTTTATTCTGATTATCTGAAAGCTTATAAGAGAACTGCTGCGACATCTTCATATTAACAAGTGTAAATAGTCCAACTTAGAAGTTAAAAAAAGCTATAATTAAGTCCATAAGTTTCTGGATAATGACAGGACTTCTGTAATTTTTGTAATTGCAGACTTTTAACTTTTATTCAACTGTTTTAGCAACTGTTTAGGAAATTGCGCATGTAAGACAAACTGGAAACTGATGAATACAAACTAAACTGTCCTGGTGAGGCTAATTTAATATCAGTGTTTTTTTACCTGTATTAAAATGTTGTGTCAGTGGTGTCAAATGCAGCAAAGAGATGGGAGGACGAGAATATAGACAAGTTGATTAACTGAGGCTATGAGAAAATGATAAGGTAGCAGGAAGCATAATGGATTTCCCAGTGTTTTAAAGATCAATCACACAGTGAGGATTTCTCCGGACTCAAAATGGGCATTTGGGAATGACTATGAATACAAACACTACTGGTCTCATTAAAGTTAAAACAGTCTCTGTTACCTCACTTAACAGTGGTCTATCTAGTTTCATATTACTCTGGCCATTCAGTGTTGCATGTTAATCTTGAGTAAATGAAATCCTCCTTTAAAAAAAACAGCCACGATGCTTTTTCTTTGGGGGATCTCTTCACTGACATGTGTCAAGCTGATAAAGTGATCTCTCATGACAGTAGGCCTTGGAAAGTACCATACTGTTACCTGATGGGGTCGATGCGAGACTTGCGCCTCTTGCGTTCCATTTCAGGGACAGAGTGCCACTGAAAGGTGAGTCTCCAGTCAAATCCTCCGATCATTGGCTCATCTGTTTGCATGTAAAACTCAAACGTGTTCCAGTCGATGGTGTCGATCACAGGGCACACGATGGTACTCGCATTCTCAGAAATCCTAAGAGACCATAACAGGCAGAAAGGAGGGTGGCAGGAAAAAATGAAAAGAAGGGGGGAAGAAAAGTTGATTCAATGTGAGTCTTAAAGCTTAAAAACAATTTCTTCCTTTTTCGGATAAGGTTGTTAAAAATGTATTTAGGCACCTTTCCAACAGAGGCTCAATCCAGCCAGGAACACACTCACAGTGGCAGTCAAGAAATGTCAGCACGTCACCGGTGGCATAGGTGGCGCCAATGAGACGTGCACGAACCAGCCCCTCCCTTTTGTTGGTGCGGATAAGACGCACACGTTGCAGATCACTGATGTAGTCGGCTAGCTTGGATTTCAGGTAGCCTATTTTTGTAATGCAAACACAAAGAAATCATGATATCAAATGATTTAGTATTAAAACAAGTGGACAGACACACAGGTACTTCTATATTTATGGATTATGAAGTGAAATGTTCATCAGCTCTTGACACAAAACAATCATCTTGTCACCAACTTATTACTCCTTCATTTGTGTTTTATTGGCTGCTCACCATGCGTCATTACCTACAGAACTGCATACTAGTCCCTGATGATTTGGGAAATACCAGCACTCTGTTTTATTGCACATTTATCATGTTTATTGAGGCAACGCTGGTATCAAAAATAGTAGTAGGTGATTCATGCAGTTTTAAACACACGTCAACACTAAAACTTGATATGCTAGATCCGGTTTAGCCAGCTTTAAAGGGGAAAGCTGTCACTCCTCCAGCAGCCGGCTGTCTGGTGTAGGAGTGGCATGTCTAACATTCCAATTGGTCAGAGTGGCTGGAGGAAAGGAAATGATGTCACTGCAACTCAGTGCTCACTGAGGTCATCTTTATGGTGTAATGTCTCCGATCCGCACAGACTAGACTTGCTGTGACCAAATACTAATTCCATTAAGACAGACAGACATCAAGCACCTCCTATATCCAGTTTCTGAGGTGTAGTAGTATCATTCTTAGAGTCAGCACAAGTCAGCAGACGATCCATTTACTGATGAAAACTGCAAGATGTGACTGAAAGCACCCCAAAAGCCAAGGGGCAGATGCAGAGTGTAGACTGTTTTGCTACTGTTGTGCTGTTCCTGAGGTCCAAATGTTCCTGCTTAAGTTCCCGACTTGCTTATAAAGATGCTGGCTAAAGATTTATATTGCTTTGTTCTTAAAATGACAAAATAACAAAATTTACTGGAAAAAACCCACACAATCACAATTTTAAACACAACCTTTTTTTTTTATTTAATTACCTGGCCAAGTTTTAAATTTCTTATCCTTCCTGAGCAGATTTATCTGCTCTGGGAATATTTTCAGGACAGGAAATGTGTCAGGACTTGTTTCAGAGGACTGTTTTTTTTTTCTAATTGCTCTATTGAAAGGCATTCACTATTCATCCCACTATAGACAGCATCTTTATTTCTATATATAGCAGGCTCCTTCTTGAATCATCTTTTGTACTTTGTCACTGTGCCAAAATCAAAGCGGCACACAAATGAGGTTTGGTTCAACTGGTTTACTAAACTAGGCCGAGCTGTCAGTCATCTTTGTTGCACAGCTCGTATGGCAACATTTTACTTGTACAGAGACAAAATTACACACGCTTACAAACCTCGGTCACTGAAGTCATCGACGAGGATGATCTCTTTCAAGAGGACGGCAGGCGTGGCTTCCAGCACGCTGTGAATGGTCCTCAGCAGGGTGGACCAGGCCTCGTTGTAGAAGGCTATGATCACAGAGGTGGTAGGTAAATGTCGGTAGTCAAACTTCTTACTTCGGCATCTGAGGCATGCAAGTGTGTTTGTGTGGGTGGAGGGAGAGACAGAGTTGACACAAGCTTTAGTTTACTGTATTTTCATGGAGACACAACAGCACTGTAAATGAACTCATACGGGCATGAAATTATTTTTCATATGGCCAGAGCAGGCTCAGCGACAAGTGTGGCAGGAGGAGGCTTCTGGTCCTAATCCAGATGGCACTCATTAAAACAATAAAGAGAAGCAGAAATATGGATGGGGGTAGGCAGCGTATTACACCAATGAGCAACATACCACAGCAGCGCTCTGGGAGGGGGGAGGGGGGGGAGGGGGGGTGAAAAAAAAGAAAGAAAAAATTGGGACCAAATCAAAAGCTGGAAACTGGACAAAGAGAGAGCAAAATATGACACAGAAAGTCAGGAGAAACACGAAAAACAAAAAGGGTAAAATGTTTCTGTAAGCTCAAGACTGTGAAAGCACAAAATTGGCACAGATTTTTAGCAGTTTTGTAGCCAGAGTTCCAATTTACAAATATGACATTGCTGGAAGTGAGTTGGACACAACAAATCAAATGAGCTACTTCGCCCTCCCCTCAGAAGCACTGTGTTTATAGTGCTGCAGTTTCATCTCAAGAGAGCCTAAAGCTAATCCGCTAAAAAAAAAAAGAAAAAAAAAACACCTGCTGGAGGAAACGGGAAAATAGTAATGGACTAGGTGCAGAACTACAACAAACATATACACCACTTCAAAATGAATAAACCTGGGAGGACATGACCCATTTGCTTACAGATTTACAAGCCCTAAAGCCAAACAAAAAGACTAGCGCATCTGGAGCAGTCTGACAAGAAGAATGAGAATTTACTGTTCTCAGATCTTACTGAGTGTAATAACAGCCAGTCGTGGCCATAATTTAGTCCCACGGCATGTTATCTGACAAGCAGCGGAAGTATATCAGCTGACATAACAACAAAACAAGTGCATAAATATATAATATGTTCATACAGAAAACACCCAGAGCACTGCTGCATCCTGTGTCACATCTGCACTCGTCAAATGTCCCTCTGCCATTGCTAGGCCCACGTCACCCATCGTTACAAGGAGTTACTTTCAGCCACTGAGACATTTTCCTCCACCCGGCGAGAGCATCTTTGTGTGTGTGTGTGTCGCAGTGGTGACAAGGGTTACTCCAGTTACACCTAGGTGACCCAGGAGACTCATTTTTCCAGCTCCAGTTTAAATAACATTTAGCTTGGGGTGTTCAATGAGCATAAATAGAACAATTGTATTTAGCTGTGATTGCAAATTTGATGCTAGAAATAATCTATAATGCTTTACAAATATACTCCAGGGCATTTAAAATAAACACACGGCCTTTACACAATCGAATGACGGTTCTCGCCAAGTTGATGCTGATGCAACATCTGGGTTTCATTAGCATGAGAGGCAGTAAGCGAAGAGACAAAAGGCCAAAGGGCCGAAGGAGAAACTGCTAATAAAAGACATCACACGGTGTATTTGAGCTGCTGACAACAACCGAGGATGAAATGAATCAATTCAGCCAAAAAGCCTCTTACAACAACTTCACCAAGCCCTGCACTGGATCACACGAGCCTTTATGCTTGTCTCTAACTGTCAGTGAAAACGTGATTCCAGTAAAGAGTTCAACTTAATCTCTACTGAGTAATTTGTAACTGTTGTAGCACTGAAGATGCTCCAGGCAATATTCAAGGCCTCGTGTATTAGCAAGGAAAATAGAAAGCATTTAAAAAAAAAAAAACCAATTTAAGTGAGTTTTCTTTCGACTGGTTGTCAGATGCCGTCACTCAGTAAGTAACTAATGGATTATTCTTGTTTTTTCTGTACTCACTCTTTCATCCTGTGGTCCTGGATGTGCCGATGGAGGGAGATCTTGTCGCTGACATAAATATTGATGGCGTAGTGCTCCACACTGTCCTGCTCCTGCTTCTTTTCTTCAGGGCTCAGGTTGAGGTGTGTGGTCCGGCCCCACTCCCCTGGTGCATTGTTGTCTGGTGGTGGTTTAATGTACAGAGGCCTAGCCAGCTGCTCATCATTCCCACTCTCCTCTGAGACCAGCTGTCGTTCCTTAAGATTTTGGTCTTTAACCTCATCCTCCACAGAGGAAGAGAAAGGGAAAGAGGAGCGCTCCAACAGCAGATAGCCAAGCCACAGCACCCACAGGAGGAAACCAGCCTTGGCCAGCAAGCCCAGCTTTCGAGAAACACGCCCCCTCATGACAGGAACCACCAAGGAAGGACAGTGACAGGCTGAGCTTCAAGGTGCCCTTACAGGACACAAGCCTCTGGAGGAAAGAAAGAAATAGACAAAAGTTTATAATCACACACATTTTATGTCACATTTTAAAGCAAACCACAAAAGGAGGCGGCTGAGAAACACCGCTGACAGGAGCAGACTATCGGAACTCATCTCAACAAAGCTCTCCCATTAGATAAGGCTTAATCAAGTAAGAACCCAAGTTCTTAATCTAAACACTTACATCCACAAAAGATCGTATCTGCCTCTAAATGCACAAGTGCCCTGAGGACATCGCTCCCATTGACCAGACCAGCGGTAATCAACGCCGACATCATAAATATGCTTGCATGCTCAGGGCCACATTAAGATGCTCATTAAATACAAATTGCAAAGATGGAAGAGGCTAAATTATGGCTCACACGGCAATGTGCTGAATAAATTAAGTCTGTGATGCACTCCAACGAGAGATATGTCAGCCTGATAAAATTAATTAAAACTGAGCTGTTTTATTCCCAGTGAATCGCACTGAGTCTTACCGGAAATGTTTCTCACATCTGTGCCTCATATACAGTCAGATTTTTTCCCCCTAAATCCAAAAGTTATATCAAGTCTTTTAAACTTTCACCTTTTATAATTTTCCGTCCTTTTCATTTTTGAATACCCTAAACATATATGACACATATTTGCAGCAAAGCAGAAAACACATATTTAAAGACAGTGGTCAAACAGCCAGGTTTAAGCATGCCTTTTGTTTAGATTTGGCTTTAATTCATTGTTAACTAGGAAACCTTTTAAAAGACTTGATTTTTTAAGAACCTGGTCTTTTGAAGGATTTCTCATTTTAAGACTTGTGTTCTCTTCCACTCGGCCAAATTCAAGGCTGATTGGAAGAAACCTTAAAAACATTAAAAAAAAAAAACAATTGGAATAGGAAAAAAAATGTTATTTTTTGACTTTTTTGAAAAACAGGATTTTCCCGGGTTTATCGGTACATAAAGACAGCAGTTTTGACATTTGCATTGGCTTAGCCTGCCAAAAGCTAGAAGAAGCCTGTGGTAAAAACAGACCACTTAGCTATGTTGACACTGATCTGGATGTAATCACATAATTGTGTTGCATTAATATTAGAGCAGGGTGCCATTTGCCGTAGTGCCAGCTAATGTCAGACAGGCTTAGTGGCAATAATGATTCACACACACACACATACATACACAGTCCCACACACCACAGCAGGGCTTCTCCCTCCTCACAGAACAGGCTAATGATGGTTATTTCCAACTTTTACCAGAAGAAAAATGCAAATTATGAGAAAAGCTTGGCTTAAAATGGCCTTTGAGGAAACGCTTTAAAAGCAAATAGAAAAATCAAAGAGTGCACGCATCCGCAGTGCAGAGTAAAAAAGAAACTCAATTGCCAATGGGAGTCCTTCAAGGCAGCAGCGCAGCCTTTTCACTCCAGTCTGGGCTGTGGCCAGAGAACTCTGGACTCCTGAGGTTTCAAAATGGAGACGCCTGCAAACAAAACCCCCTTTTATTAGCAGTCCATCACACCTTCCACTCTCTCTGAATCTGATAGCCTTACCCAGGGCAGCTGCTTGGATCAAGCAGGATGGGGGCAGAGGGCTAAGATGCAACGTTAATCCTGACCTGCTTTTTGGTCATGAAACAAAAACACACAAAAAGAAGGGAGACGAGGGATAACATTGGTTTCCTGGGGTGCATTTTCTGCTGCATGTCCCACCCAGAGAGCAGTGAAAGGATGGGTCAATAGCTGATAAAATAAGACTCTATGTTAGAGTCACTTAAAATTCTGATGTCATGAAGCCCCGACTTCTCTCCACGGTCAGCCTGGAATGAACACTATGTACTGCATACATTGCACGCTTCATTTCCTTGTCAACCAGTCCAGAAACGACAAATAGCTGTAAATGGTGTAATATCCAAGAGGCACTAGCTGAACAGGTTACACAAACAATGCTTGACAAAGCAAAGCAACTCTTCCCCACCAACCAACTGGCTCTATTTCATTTTAAGAAGACAGGGATCACTGACTCATCGGAGCAACACAAGCAGCTCTCAGCTGCACTCTGTGTATATGGTACTGACAGAAAGGAGCCTGGGTGGGATGAGTGATGATGGCAGGCTTAATTTAACTGTTGTCTCTGACACACAAACAAACCCAAACACACTTGAAACGCACTTTAAAACAACGCTCCCCCTCCTCCCTTTATTAAAGCTGATAGGTGCTCCAAATGAAAGCAAAAGTAAATCTCGAGTAAACCCCTAACACTGCCATCTCTCTCCCCACGGCCTAGCTGATGATCAAACTTTTATCTTAATTTGTATTTATGAAGAAAGGGGAGCTTTGAGGAAAAGAGAAATAGCAGTGGAGAGAGCGCCTGTCTCGAAAGCTGCAGTCGTAACACGCAAGTTCAGCAACAGGTCTCCGGATCTGTCAAACTAAATCAGTGTTTGGCTCCTAACTAGTCGTACAGTCAGCAGAGAGAGCAAAAGCCTCCGCTGACCCCCCTGGATGAAGGTCGCATTAAACACACGCATAGCACAGCAGCAGCAGCGCGCGCGCGTGTGTATGTGAATGTTTGTGTGGGAAGAATAACCTCAACTTTCTACAAAGCCTCCACTTGAATTAGCAGCTACTAGAGGCTAAATGACAACCTCTTCCTACTTTCAAAGAAAGTCCACATTAGTTGTGGTGCCAAAGTTTTTTAAGTTTAATTACTGCTAAACGAGTGAGGAGCGCAAATAGATTTTATCGACATCGTCAACAGACAAACTGTACTTTGAACTTGACGACACATTGTAGCTGGGAGAGCATTTCTGTGAAGAAAGACGAGGTTAGCTTGTGTTGAGTTTACCTTCGCAACAAGTTACATGTCTCGGAGTTACTTCGAGAGAGTTGAGGCCGTTGTCTGTCAGCCTGGCTGCGGTCTTCTCACACTCAAACCTCTGGCTTGCAGATGTCAGCATACCCACATCCTTTCCTCCACACTGGGTTTCTGACCTCTGTCAAGACAAACTGAAACACTACAGCGGTTCCGCCGTAACCTTTCAAAATAAAAGTCCAACAATGACAGGAGTTTAACAATAAGTATACATAGGAATAAAACATAAAAAAAAAACATCTTTATATGTACCGAAGTATATGTTTATATATGGTATCATTAACCATTAATGTACGTTACATAAACGTCAATGTGAATTTTTTTCAATAACCTAAATTATTCAATGAATAACACACGTAATTGTTCGTTTAAGCTATACGGTACCCCATGGTTTGTACTTATGTGTGTTGTCTACAATAGATTTTTACGTCTTGACATTTCGTCATATTAACTTCCTCATACAAAATCGCGGGGGGTGGGGTGGGGTTGTAGTTGGTACTTCCGGTGTTGTTAGCAACGTCTCCAGTTAAATTGACGAAGTACTTCATGCTAGCCTGTTAGCTATTCATTTGGCTCTGTCTACAACTGAAACCCCCACAGGTTTTTAATAACTTTAAACTTTGTATGTGACTGTCTTTGTATGTAACTTTGGAGTGATGACTATAAACGTTATATCCTGACTCTGTACAATGTGAAAACAATCTGACGTGAGTTTGTCTAAACTTTAATTTGTGCAAAAACTCCGATACCTTTCGAGATAAACACTCGACCTGCACTTGAAAACAATGATCTGAAGCACTTCGTCATTTTACCATGACTTTATAAGAGCCCAAAATGTTTGGCTCATGTGTCGCTGCTTTCTAAAAACAGTCATTTTACAAAACGATACACCCACTTAGAAACTCCTGCCACGTTTGTAGTACGTTTATGAGCTGATAACATCATCTGAATGAATGAACCTTCTATCCAGATGTAAAGAGTGTCACTGTTTGCATATCATGAAGACATAGCAGACATAATGCAAGAGAAAAAAATAACATGAGCTGGTGTTTCACCACAGCAGCAACTGCAACTTTTAATCTTCTTTAAAGAGTTAATTGAATTTAATAGCAGGCTTACAGGTTTGTAATTTTGATGCAACGAGAATTGCATGGAGATCAAAAACTCCAAAGCATGCAATAAAGTCTGTTCAGTGGATTGATGTCAGGATACATGAGGCAAAAAGACTGTAGGCATTGCTTTTTGGTTTGATCGTGATGCCATGTAGTGTCTGACCCCCCAAAAGAGCAAATGAGAAACCACTGTGATGTTCACAGGAATGCCGAAAGGATCTATGCGCCCCACTGTACAAAGGGACTGTGTAATCCACACAGACACATGCACCAACAGCCCTTCCCTCTGTGCTCTCGCTTTTATGAGCTTGGTTTGTTTTCTCATAGTTCCTGGTTCCTGCTCAGGCTGGACCACACTTGCCTAGAGTGTGCAAAGCGCTAGTGCAGCCTGTTTTTTAGGCAGACACCTGCACGGCTTGGTAACTTGCCAATATCCTTTATTCCTCTTGCTCTTTACTTTTCCTTTCCGTCTCCCCATTTGAAACCAATTGACACCTCTCTCTGTGAGGGTGATGTGCCCTCATCCGGAACTGAAAAGGGTCCCATTTCCCTGATAGGGATCTCGGGCTTTCACAGCTACAAGGAGGGCTGTTGTACAGGTCTTTCCTCTATTCAAGCTGTCATTTAGTTCACATATGCAACGTGCCCCATTTCCTCTTCATTCTCAAGTTAGTGGCAAAAGTGATTTAATCAGTGTGGAATCTAGTCTTGTTATGGTTTTTTCAATGTGAGGGAGCTTCAGATTTTCATCAACCTACATTTAAATTTCCTTTAAGCTTATAGCTTAACCTAATTGTGTTATTTGTCAGAGGTGCACTACACTGAAATTAAAGAAAGGAGACCCATTTCTTAAGAGATTTTATTAAAATCCGGAGCAATCCCTGTGTTTTTGGCTCTGTAGGGCCTCTTGATTTATTGGTCATAGGCTGACTAAGCCTATCGCCGTCCTTTAAGATAATCTGCATTTGGACTCAGTTCAGTAGCTGCAGAGCTTATGATTGAGATCGTTCTCATTTGACAGACTTGAAGAACACAAGTCTAGGGGGTAGAAATACTGGCAACAGGATTTGACCTGGTGCCATAGGCTGCAGGATCAAATGAAAACAGTTCAAGTCAAGAGCGCCATCTAGTGACTGCAAAGAATACATCTGTTATAATTACGCTTGACATTGGACTAATGCCATACCACCTTAATGCAATTAACAAACTGAATACAAAAGGTTGGTGCCCTTAAACAGCTTTGTGTTTCAAACCGTAGAGCCCATTCAGATGGAAACTAACTTGGTCCCATCACCCTTTGTGTTGCTACTCTTGTAGAATATTAAATAAGGACAACTATCCTCCCCTGTTTTTTAATAGACATAGATACCTCTGGGCGCTTCTAATCTTTTGGAGCTGAAATAGTCATGTGGCACTGATGCGTTACTTTGTCAGATTCTGTTTCCCAACTAATGAGTGCCGTTTAATTTGAGCAACTCATTTAACCTCTAAAATTAGAAGAACAGAGCTGTCATACATGCTGAGTTAAATGGCTGCGGTAACTGTAGACTTATAAACTGCTAGACCTTCACAAAGGTGATTCAAAGGAATGTGTGTCTGGGCCTTTACATATCTACAGCTGTATTCAACTACTGCTCCATTCTCCTCTTAACTGGCTTAACGGTTGGGCTGATGATTTCATTAGCCGCATGTCCTTTGTGCTTAATGTTCATTTACTTTGTTCATGCAATAAATCATAGTGAATAGAGGTCACATTGTGGGACCAGGCTCCTTTAATTTAATGGAGATGGATTCCAGCTCATACTCTTCCTTAGATTATTAGCTCCCCATAGAGAAGAAGACACAGTGACCTTCAGCCATAAGGACAGAATATGGTTATCAATTAGTGACTGATGGTGAACGTTAGGCCTCTTTTATGACCTTGGATATGAGGGAATAGGCTATTATTGCATGAAGTAGAAAGATCTTACACATTGATTTGTGTGTGAAAGAGAATCCATTAGATATGTAACATAATGGCGATGGCACTGGTTAAAAACTAACATTTTATTCCTCAGAGAACTTGGCAGATCTGCAGTCTATTTAGGTAGTAGGCATATACATCAATGCTTTACACTAAGACACAAAAAAGAGAAAACCTTGAATTTTATTAATTAGGAATGTAGCACTTCAAAATTCTAATACAACATCAAGGCTGTGCACATGAATAAGGCTGTGATCAGATACCGATGAAAATATAGCAAAAGTCTAATTAGGAAGAAATATATGCACCCACTTCTATATGAGCTTTGTTCACTTTGAAACACTCAGGAAAGCTCGGACAATAAAGTTGGCAGCAATGGGAAGACACCTTCAGCAGAACCAGACTCAGGGTTGGGCAGCCATCTGTCATGACCGATTTGGGGTGATGTATTAAATGTTCCAAAAAGAGACTTTTGAGTTAGTAACACTAACAGTTTGATTAGTTTTATTTTGTGATCACAGTTTTTGTTTGCTGTTGCAGCCAGTTTGGTCTTTTTGAGGTACAGCTGGCTTTGCATCTTGTGTCACATGAAAGTGTATTACAGATTATTTTGCGGCTGTCAAATGTTACAAATTGAAATCTCAATGGACCCTTTTTTGTGACCTTTTGACACTGAAGAAAAAGCACTGAAACAATTTTCAATTTGCTGATTTTCATTTTGCATTAGCGGTCTGTTGTTCAATTCAGTTTTATTAATATAGCCTTAATTCACTGTGACAGTTGTCTGAAAGCACTGTAGAGAGAGAAACCCGGTATGACAAAGCATTTAGCAACAGTAGGAAGGAAGAACTCCCTTTTAAGAGGAAAGAGACCACCGCCAGGACCATATGACAATCTCTGGAGCTGATGAAGACAAAAATTGCATCCACTTGAGGCTAGCTCCAATATGAAGTGAATCCCATAGGCTTATATATATTATAACCAACCCAACATTATAGCATTAAAGAAAATATTTAGAGCACAGTAAAAAAAAAAAAATTTGGCCACAATGGATAGATTCTCCCTTCATAAGAACTCTAAGTAGGGTGATTTATTTTTTGCTTGTTTGTTTGTTTGTTTGTTTGCTGTTCATTTCTTTCAGGGAGAATGTACAAAATTCATTAATCACACAAAAACAGAAAAATGCTTTGTGCCAGATTTAGCTACTAGCTAATTTCCATCTGTGGTCCCTGGGCAGGTTAAAAAAAACAGTGAGATGCAATTAAAGTCCGTCAGTGGAGACACATATGCACACACTCACATACCTGCATGTGTGCAAATACACACACACACACACGCAAGCACAGATAATAACTAATTGAAAACAACATGCATATCAAAATGTTAATCGCAGGTATAGAATTATATAAAACAAGTAATCATGAGGAAATTAATACTCACAAGGTTAAGCATGAGAGAAGATATGGAAATCTGCACAGGTTTTCTAATTATTTGGAAGGATATTCCAAGCTTTAATTGTGTTATAGCAGAAAGCAATTAGCATTCTCGTATAAAGCAATATAGAAGCCTGATAGCAGTATCCACCTGGATAGTAGAGTTACAACCGTGGCTGCATTGATTAACAGGTGACCCAACACACACAGCGGGAGCTGAGCATCGTCCGCTAGGCCTCAGCTCAACTAATTTGAGTCAAACCAGACCTCTTTGCTGTGCCTATGTGTGTGCTCTTGGATTTTCTGAGTAATAGTATGGCTTCCTGTGTGGTACAGACCATCTTAGGAGTTTGTCCTTCAGTTCTTGGTGAGTGAGAGCCTTGTTTGTTAGTCCATTACTTCGATGTGTGCATCTGTACTTTACACTCACACAGTTTATGACTGTGTGGAGCCCAAAACCAGTGAGTCACACGATGGTGGCTACATCCATCTTTTATGCTGTGAGTGGTCAGAGTGCGGTTCATGGTGGAGCAGTCGTCTATGTGACTTGTTCAGGGGACGAGTAGAAGAGAAGAGACAAAATGAGAGCAGTGACTCCCAAAGTGTGCACCAGGGCTCACTGGTGGGGTGCAAAGGTACTGC